ATATATATATATATATATATATATATATAGGATTGTTGGACCGTTCCCCCATAGGGATCTGCTGACCAGCTTGTGACTAGGAGCGGAGTTTACTTCTTGTTTCCCTCCTTCCAATTATTGCCTGAATGCAAGTTCCTGTTTTCTGCCCATCCTTATTGTCAGAGGGCCCTGGGAACGTGTACTTCTGACCTTGGTAGTTTTTCACCGTGCCTGCTAACTGGTATAAAATGCCCCCCTCTTGTTGCAATAAATGGCATTCTCCTTGCAAGAATGGCCCGCTGTCTTTCGTCTTCATCTCAATCCTCAGGCCCTCACTCAAATCTCTGAAAAGTGTTGTAGCGCACTGGGCACTACATTTTTCTTGCTTTATATAAATTTCTGTGGGGCTGGAGGAATAACTCAGTGGTTATGAGCACTGGCTGCTCTTTGTCCGTTTGGTGTTTGTTTTTTCGAGACAAAGTCTAACTGTGTAGTTCTAGCTGCCCTGGAACTCACTCACAGAGATCCTCCTACCTTTGCCTCCCGAGTGCTGGGATCAAAGGCGTGTGCTGCCACCATCTGGCTATGTATATCTTTTTTTAAAAGACGGTGGTGTATCTGATGTTCTTCATTTCATAATTTTCATTTCTTCTGTGATGTCTTTATATGGACTGTACTCTTCACTGTCTCAGTTCTGAACAGGGGTAGGTTCTCAGAGGTTTCTATTGCTGGGGGGGCACTGGTTATGTGACCCTGACCCCCCCACTCCAACCCCTGCCCATGGTAGGAAATCCATGCTCTGTGACTGGCCACACTGGCAGCTGCTGAGCAGAGGCCACGGCCAGCAACAACTTCTGAGGGTCCAGTTCCATGCGTCCCTCACTCAGCCCCAGCCCCCTCTTCCTCAAGTTCCCTAACAATGCTCTCACACCAGTGCCTGGTACTATACTGTGGTTCCTTCTGTCCATCTCCTCATAACTGTAAAGTCCCCGCAAGCACCTGTGTGTGTCCCCACAGCATGAGCAGTTTTCTCAGAGGATGGGAGGTGTCATCGTAGAGATAATATGCCTTTGCAGCTCTGAAACCTATTGGCCCAACATGGTGGTGCACACCTTCAGTCCTGGTGCTCAGGAGACACAAGCAGGCGGATCTCAGTGAGTTCCAGGCCAGCCTGGTCTACAGAGTGAGTTCCAGGCGGGCCAGGGCCACACAGAGAAACCCTGTCTCGAAGTAAAACTTTTAAAAATTAAACACATCAAATGGTGCTTCAAAGCAGCTTCGAGAGAGAAGGGGGAAGAGAAGTGGGGAAAGAGGAGAGAGATGGAGAGAGATAGAAACAGAGAAGCAAAGGAGAGGGCCGTGGGACGAAGAGGAGGGGGAGGGGAGGGACGTGTTTGGTTATCAACAAATGCAGGATTAGGCTCTCCAGTACAAACCAAAGAAAAAAGCAAAACCTGTGCACAACCGGGTCACTGCACGCCATCCTCCCTCCCCTTCCCCCTCCCCCTGTGAAGTCATACAATCCGTGCTAAAAGGGCTGTGACATCTCAGGAAGGCCGAGTCCGGGGATGCCTGCGGCTCCCGGATCCCCGACCGGAGTAAGAAGACTGAAACGTGAGGTGGCTTTGGACAGCAGTGCACGCATCATTTGAGATGTCGATTGACACCAGCATCTTGTCTTTTATTTTTTTACCCAGTCCCCAAGAAGAGTCACTTTGTGTAGACCAGGCTGACCTTGAACTCACAGAGACCCGCCTGCCTCTGCCTCCCGAGTGCTGGGACTGACCCACCTCTTGTTTTGTTTTTAGCCTTGTGGGCGTCGAGAACCACAGCTCAGTCTCTAGGAAGGGACATCACCTGAGCCACCACCACAGCCCCCTACTGCCGCCCACTGACACGACCTAGCGCTTTCTAGTCCATTTCACCTGTGGCTGTGACCGCCCCACACCCCAAACCACCTGGCACTGCATCTGCCACCATGGGAGCCTTGGCCCCGCACTCCCCCGGGAGAGGTGAGTGCCTAGGAAACCCCGGGTGATTAGGACCCTAGAGCCGGGGGTTTCCCAGCCCCGCCCACTGCAGCCCAGAGGCCTGGGGGCAGCCTCTCCACACCCCAAACCATCCCGCTGCACGGAATCTGCAGCCATCAGACCCTTGACCCCGCTACACTTGAAAGAGTCCCAGAGTTGTGTCAGTGTCCAGCAGACGCAGGGGCCCGCCCCCACCTGTACGAAGAGTCACCACCTGAGCACCGGCCCCACCTACACCAACTGCAGGAAGACAGACCCCTGAATCGCAGCCCCCCCCCCCCGCACCCACTGGAGGAAGAGGAGGGTAGATGGCAGTATAAAAACGCATTCAACAACACCAAGAGGAATATGACATCACCAAAGACTAGGGATTCTACACCGGCAAGACCTGAACATCCCAACACAGAGGAAGCAGAAGAAAACAACCCCAAAAATAACTTTATGAAGATGATAAAGGCTCTTAAAGAGGAAATGAGAAACTCCCCTAAAGAAATGGAGGAAAAGACAAAAAATTAAAATGGAAGAATTCAACAAGTCCCTTAAAGCAAGGAAAGACAAGAAAAAAGAGTCGGCTGTTGCTGTGTCAAAAATCACTGATTCCCAAGGCCAAAGAGCACAAGTTGCACATGGCTGCTCACTCAAGTCATGCTGCCCTGGAGGCCAAGACAGAAGGATTGCTGTGAGTTCAAGGTCAGCCTGGACTAGACAGTAAGATTGGGACCAGAGTGAGACCTGTGCAAAAGACCCGGGCTGGCTCCCTGAGGTCAGAAAGGTCCTGAGAAGGTGCTCTGGTCACTCTCCTCCCTTCCGTTTTTTATAACAGATGACATCTGCTTTGGTGACACGGTGTCCCTGTGAGGAATGGCATCTACCTCTAGGCAGGGACAGTGGGGCTGGCCAAGGGCCTCCTAGGGAGGCGGGTTCACCTTGAGATAAGATAGTACACGTTTTCCATCTCAAACTTCCCTGCCCATATAGCCCCTGGGAGCCACCGTGAGGCTGGTCTGAGGCCTGACTGGGGAGGAACTATTTCCTTTCCCCTCTAATGTCTTTTTCCTTCCAGATGCTGGCCCAGAGCTCAGCATGCTTTGAAAGTCCCTAAGTAGCTCTTTGACCTCTTTGTCCAGCCTCCCTCAACCCTCCCTCTCTGCCAGGGTGACTCCACTGGTCTCTGTCTTATCTCAGTCGTGGTGGCCTTTGCCCCTTCCCTCCTCCATTCCCACCCCCACCCCACCCCTTTCCAGGCAGCTATGACTGGTCCAGCTTGCCTGCCCCTGAGTTTTCCTTTGCAACTCCAATCAAGTGTCCTCCAACTGCCATTTGTGGTGTTTCTTAAATTCTTTCATTAAATGAGACTGAGAACCCCAAAAAGGGGCCCCAATTTCCCAGGTATCATATTAAGCCTCTACTGGGACGTCCCAAAATTTCCTGGAACACTTCTTTCTTGCATTTTAGATAGTTAATTGACAGGGAAAACAAACCTATTCCTGCACCCCCAGATAAGCCTCGCTCCACGTGTCAGAGCCCCTCTGCCTCCATCCTGCAATCTGTTGGTCCCACCTGTGTGATCACAGATCGCCCCCAGTTCAGGAGCCCCCATGGCATCCGTGAAGGGGAAGTATGACCACAGGCATCAGCCATACACAGTTTGCACCTCAAAGGGCACAGTGGTCTCCCTGTCACTAACCTGTCACTAACCAGGGCTGGGCACAGTCTGACTCCGAAGGGGAAGGGCCTCATTCAGCCACACAAGGGATCCTCCCAACTACCTCGCCCACCCCACTGTCCTGGATGAGCACCTCCCTCCTGTCCAAGCTGCCTCCCTCCTGCCACGGAGACATGTCTGCCTGGCAGCTGCCTGTGCTGTGAGAAAGACCTCACCTCCAAGAACATGACTCCCTCTGGTCAGACACTTCCCCATTGTCTCACTTGGAACGTCGGCTTTTTGATTCTTGGTCTGGGTCTGGGCGACAAGTGCTCAATCATATTCTCTAAATTGCCAAACAAGTTCCCGTCTTTGGGGCACTCACGACCAAGACTGTCAGATTCCCAGGCCCACTCAGGGTCTGTGGATAACGCCTGCGGCAGTAACACAAGCTGGTAGGGCTTATCTCACTGTCCCCAACAGGGCAGCTGGCTCCCGGGTGCCACAGCCAGCCACACAGGAGGCTCTGCGTAAGGTTTCACAGTAACGCAGAGGCCTCCTCCACAACTCCATACTCCAGAATATTCTCCTGAGATTAAGTGAAGGACCCTAAACTGGGGATCATTATGGACCAAGTGTCACCATGGGATCCTCAGAGGAAAAGAGTTGGGCCAGAAACTGGGAGGCACTGGGCTCCTGACTCCAGAGGAAGGAAGGAAAGACCTCGAGCTGATATGGCCCCTGAGACTCTGGACAGAGGGACCAGTAGGTGCTGCCTTGATCCACCAGACAGAAGCACCCTCTACTGCACCCAACTGGAACCCAGGGCCGTATAAAGGGCTCATCACAGACCTGAGAAATGATGGACCCTGGGGGTGGTTCGTTGGGAATCCAGAGCCTGCTCAGTCCCTCTGAACTGCATAAGCAGCTGCCCATGTCTGAGGGACTGACGGACAGAAGTCTGTTTCTCACTGCTCCGGAAGCCCTGTTCTGCTATGCGCCCTTGCCTTGTGCAGTGAAGTGCCCGCAGATGTCAGAAGGGGCCAAGAACGCCCTCCTCCCCACATCGCTGCCTCCCGATGCTCCCTCCAGCACCGTGACCCTGCGGCAGTTTCAATAGTGAAACTGAGGACCACATCAGGAACCCTGTAAGAGGGTGATCAGCTTCTCATCAGGTCGCCAGAAGAACCGGCATGCCATGGCCTGAGCTTGAGGTCTGTGTGAGCCCGTGGGAGGCAGATGGGTGGGAAAGGCCGGGGAGATGGGGGAAGGGGCTGAGGCCCAGCTTCAGAGTCCCTCAAGATGGGAAGAGAAACTTGGGAAATAAAACGGTCGCACATCGCAGGTAGAATGCGAAAATAAGATTATTATTTTTCTGGCCTCTGGTGTCCCTGCCCGCCCACGCCCAGGCCACGAAGCTCAGCGAATCACTCACACAGGCGAGGATGCACTTGGGTGTTTACTGGGGGTGGGCTGGAGGTCAGGTCTGGCTGTCACACTTTCTTGGTGATGTATTTGGGGATGGCAAGCTCATAAATACGAGGAGATGCCTGGGCCACCAGAGAGGCTGGGGAGATATAATATGGGTTGTAGCCCTCGTTGAGGTCCTTGCGTATTTTGGGTTGGGCCAGGGAGATGATCCGTGAACTGGCCACTGCTTTCTTGGTGACATCCAGGATCTCCCACTGAGGACTGCGGTCAGGAACGCACTTTTCGGACAGTGCCTTGGGTGCTAGAGGGCAGAAGAGAGGAGCAATGCCAGGCTCAGACGGCTCAGGCAAAGCCCCAAGCTCCGTCTGCCCACCAGCCAACGAGTGACAGAATCTGTGCGAGCCACACCACACGCCCAGTGTCACTCAGAGCACACAGCATACACACGCTGGAGCATTACACAGCCATGAACAGGACCGAGGCTCAGAAACAACGCAGCATGAGGGGTTGGGGGTGCTCAAGGGCAGGGTGAGGATCACACAAACCGGCCCACAGCATGGGAGTCCAAGACAGGAAGCACCCAGTGCAGATGAATCCAGAAAAGGAAGTAGATTCAGGGGTGCAGGAGACCAGCGACTGCTCATGAGGACAAGCTTTTCTTTGGTGGAGATAGAATGTTCTGGACTTGGTCAACTGATGATTGGACAACCTTCTGAAAATATCAAAAACCAACTTTCGAGAGGGAGAATTGGGCCGGGCGTTGGTGGCGCACGCCTTTAATCCCAGCACTCGGGAGGCAGAGGCAGGAGGATCTCTGTGAGTTCCAGGACAGCCTGGTCTACAAGAGCAAGTTCCAGGACAGCTTCCAAAACAATACAGAGAAACCTTGTCTCGAAAAAAAAAAAAAAAGAGGATGAATTGTAAAGATGTTTCAGTTGGTCACAGCGCTCAGAAAGGAGGCCACAGCTACCAGGGGGACCACGGGTCCATCTCCACCTGGACGTGATGGCGGCGGTGAAGAGAGGAAGAGCCTAGCCTTTCGGGGCCGCTATGACATGGGGTGCATGGTTACAGACTTCTCCCTGGCTGTAGGCTCTGGGCCTTTCCCTGGCCAGCCCACCTCACACTCCCACACTCCCAAAACAGAACAGCCACAGCCTCCATCAAGTCCCTGTCTGCCTGGACCTCAGTGAAGATGGACGAGGCCCCTGGGGCCGACAGCCGACTGCACAGAAGCCCCAGGGAGAGAGACGGAAACCTATGATGGAAACACACCTCTGGGCGTGCCCATGAGAACCTTTCTAGAAAGGTTTAACAGAGCCAGGAAAGTCCACCCTGAATGTGGCAGCACTATTCCAGGGGCTGTCCCCTCAAACTGTGAGCACAGAGCCAGGAAAGTCCACCCGGAATGTGGCAGCACTATTCCAGGGCTGTCCCCTCAAACTGTGAGCAAAACCAACCCCACCTTAAGTGCTTTCTCTAGATATTTTTGTCACAGCAAGAGGAAAAGCGGCTAATGCAAGCCCTTTCCCTCAAAACCCGGGAGGCCCCCAGCAAAGGTCCTGGGATAGAAACCAGCCACTGGTCCCTGCAGCAGGGGAGTCATGGGACCCTGTGGTCTCTGGGGTGGGGGGGGTCAACCGTCCCCGGACTAGGGACATTGAAGCTTTCAGCCATTGTGACACCTAAGCTTTTCTCTCCAGCCCCAACATTTGGGCATTTAAACTCTGTGGGGCACAGCACGACATGCCCCCCCAACAGGACTGACGGAAGCAGAACTGGGCATGCTCCCACCCACAGCCAAGCACACCTGCTTGCCAGCGACAGAGAGAGGGCCTGGTGAGCACAGGGCTCCAACTGCAGCCTAGCACCAACAAGTGCTGGTCACAGTCCTTTGAGGCTGGGCACCTAGGTCTGACAGCAAAGCCTGAAGCTGCCCTCACCCACAGTGTACACAGTGAGGTCTGAGTGAGCGGGAACACACACACACACACACACACACACACACACACACTCAAAGACATCCGTGCTCACACATGCTCGCACCACCTCGGACTCACCGTCACCGTCTGGTATTGAGAAAACAACCAAGTGAGCAAACAGAAAACCCAACAGGTGAATTTTAAGAGGACAAGGCGAGATTGGAAGGAATCACCTCGGGGAGCCTGACGAAGGGTTTGGTTACATCCTCTATAAAGAGCACCCCCAAACTGCACACCAAAACTCAGGGCTAAAACAGCTGGGAAGGAGGCGGGGAAGAGGATGCAGACGGCCAGCCTCCTACCCCGCAGGTATCGGCCAAGAGCAGCCCAGACACCGTGACTCTTCAAGCCGATGGACTCTCAGGTCCAGCGCACGGTGAACAGAACAAAGACAGCCTAGACACGCACCACCCGTGAGCGGTGACGCCATACGCAGAAAGCATAGACTATGCCAGGGCTCCCTGTCTCGAGGTGAACAGGGCACAGGGAAGACATGGGAGGGGGAGCTCTGAGACCAACGATATGTAAGGCACCCACTGGCTGCTGTGTGCTGGAAGTGGGGGTCTCGGGAACCCCAGTGTGCTGAAGGCACAGCCCATTGGATTCTGGCCTGGTCCCTGTGGAGTTAGGGTGGTGGGATAGCCTGGAAGAGGCTTTTGAACTTGACCATGCAGGCTCGCACTGTGTGTGTGAAGTGTGTGGCCTCTCGGCTGAGACAGTAGATGTCGCTTTCACTTCCGTTTTGGGGCACTTTTGTCTTTTCCGTGAACAGTGCACACTGCTTTTGCCACCAGTGAGTGGCTGTGGACTTTCACACAGATGGGAAGCAAACAAGTAATCGATTCAAAGCAGCACCCACAGCCCAGTGTGCGCCCTCAGCCTCACGTCCTGCGCCCACGGTCTCTGCTATGCCCTCTGACAGTTTCCAGGCTCCAGACAGCCCATCCACAGTTGAGGGAGATGAGGCACAAGGAGGCACACTCCTGCAAACACCCACCCCACACCCAGGAGGGCACCCACTCACTTGCCAGCTGAAGGAGGCGGTTGTAATCGGATACATGAGGCTTGGGTTTCGGCATAGGGTCCCACTCTTCCAACAGAGTGGCTGGGGGCCTGGGCTTTGCCAGGCGAAGGGTTCGTGGGGTGGGGACTGCCATCTGGGCTGCTCTGGACACCTGGGAGATCTAGAAACAGGAGTGGAGGGGAATGAGTCAAGTAGCCATGACTGCTCAAGTCCGTGGAGCAGGAGTACCCCGACTCCCAGGGAGAAATTAGGTTTGCAATGTGTGAAACCAGGGCTAGTGGCATTAGTACACAAAGAGCCCCTCCGCGGACACCACAAGATGGCAGTGTTCTAAGCTGGCTTGGCAAAGGCAAATCATAAAACAAAATACCAGAAATAATAATAGCCCAGCATGGTGTCACACACCTTTAATCTGGCATTTAGGGGGTGGGCAGAGGCAGACAGATCTCTGTGACTCTGAGGCAAGCCTGGTCTATAGACTGAAATCTTGTCTTCACGTGAATTAGATAGATTAGATAGATACATAGATAGATAGATAGATGATAGATAGATAGACAGATGATAGATAGACACACAGATATATAGATACATAGATAATAGATACACAGATATATACATACATAGATGATAGATAGATAGATAGATAGATAGATAGATAGATAGATAGATACACAGACAGACAGACAACAGAGATAAAACAGGCTATCACTGGACAATCACTTGAAAACACTGGTGACAATGTGGTAGCCGAGATTCCATGCACAAGAGCAGGAAAGCAACTCTGTAACAGCTTTGAGGGGTCCGTGTGCCTCGGAGTGAGCCTCGAGTCTTCCCCACTGACCCTCGCACAGGTCTCTAACCTTGCTCCCTCACAGGCCCAGAGAGGAGCCTGCACTTGTCCATCTAGCAGGGCTTGCTGAACCCAGCCAAAGCACACAGGACACAGTGCCAGCCCTGGTGAGCTGGTTTCAGGACTTCGTGATGGGAAGTGACAGGAGTCCCCAGAGAGACCAGGCCAGTAACCACAGTGACAAGAAACACAAGGTCTAGGCAAAACCAGGGCTTGGCTGAGGCTAGACCTTCACCTGTTACAGGGGAGCGACTCCCAGAAGGGTAGGGAGTTCCCAGTGGGGCCTCAACTCCAGGCCCAGAAACCTGGACTCCTCAAAGGGTCCTGGTGACCTTGGAGGCTTTAGGGGATTGCAGTCCTGAGGCATCAGGAGTGGCCTGAGTGCGAGGGGGGGGGGCAGCAGGAAGGACGTGGGCGCATCATGCCGAGTGTGAGAGTGAGGGCAGGAGGCAGTGGGCAGGGAGAACCATGAGCTCGTTTGGTGAAATCCAAGTCACCACTAAGACAAGCAGGGAATGCAGTAATGTTAAGGAATTATTGCTATTTTTTCAGTGTTTTTGTTCTACTTTTAAATTTCCCCCTGTCCATTAGAAATGTTTATGGGAGTGTTACAACAGAGAAGGTATATTGCTAGGACTTGTTTCGTGTTTTTGAAACAGGGTCTCACGTAGCCCAGGCTGGCCTTGAACTTGTTAAGTAGTTGAAGGTGGCCTTGAACTCCTGACCCTTCTTCTATATCCACCCCATGAATGCCAGGGTGACAGGACATGTGCCACCACGCCTGGCTGGACTTTGGTTTGCTTTTGGGTGGAGGTTATTGTTTGCTTTTGTTTCCGAGACAGAGTCTCTCTGCACAGCCCTGGCTGTCCTGGAATTCACTATGTAGTCCAGGCTGGACTTGAACTCACAGAGATCCTCCTGCCTCCTCCTGCCTGGCAGGTCTTTGGTTTTGGAGACAGGGTCTCTCACTAAACCTGGGGCTCACGGACTCAGCCAGACTGGCCAGGGAACCCCAGCTGAACTTTTTTTTTTTGTTTTGGTTTTTTGAGACAGGGTTTCTCTGTGGCTTTGGAGGCTGTCCTGGAACTAGCTCTTGTAGACCAGGTTGGCCTCCAACTCCCAGCTGAACTTTTAGATTACTTTAAAAAGCAGGTTCAGATGACCACAGAGTGACTGGTCACATCCCCTTGGGCGGTGTCACTTCACAGTGGAGCCCCGCCCCAGCTGGAGAGCAGACTGGGAGTCATCAAGAAGCTTTGGAATCCCAGGAGGCCTCAGAGGGCAGGAGAGGTGATAGGGATCAAGGGCCAGAGCCGGGCCGGGGCCGGGCAGAGTTTTCCAGATGAACCAGTGAACCCACCCACCACACAAAGGCTCTGTCCCCTCCCCTAGCGCCAGATGCAGCTGTGCCCACTGCCCGTCCCGCTGCGAGTGTGCGGCAAGCACCGCCTACCTCGGACATATTGATGCTCCAGATGTTGTTGCGAACCTTTGGAGTAGCCAGTTGCTTCAGCCGGTTAGAAGGTTGATACTCCAAAGTGGACCGAGGGATGGGCCAGATGGGCGTGGTCCTAAAAGGCACCCAGAGTTCAGCCATCATTCTGCCCCTCTGGAGAGCCTTGAGAGGCTAACCATGTGTGTGGTGTTTCTCAAACTGCTCAGAACGCTCCCGGGATGTGTGAACCTCAGGACACTGGGCCAGGGAATGCCCCCAGAGGAGACCCATCGAGGGCCAAAACGGGCCTCTCCTGGGCGTGTCCAGTCCAGAGTGGGGTACCCTCGGGTGTGTACTTTCTTCTTTCACTTTCCTATGTGGCAAAGGGCCAGCTGCCGTCCCTATCAGGAGCCAGAGATAACGTGTCCTGTGGCTGCCCCAAAAGGCTGCCCAGGCAACTACCCTAAGCTCAAAGGGTAAAACCGGGTCCCATCTCTGCCACGTCCAGGAGCAAACGCTGCCACAAGGATGCTGCCGCTGACCGAGCTTCTGCGATCACTGAAGCCCCCTCCCCCCCATCAGCTGCCAGAGGCTGGAATGCAGCAGCTCACCCTGCAATCCACCCCAGGGCTAGGGGCACTGCCACCCACAGGTGAGCATGGCTTCAGCTTCTTCCCAAGCGACAATGCGGCACCGGTGCACAACGGGACTGTGCGTAAGCACAGGTGTGAAAACCCAGGACCCACAGGGGTGGCCGGGGCCACTCCAGCCGTCGGTGGGGTGTGTGTTCTCTGTACGCAGAGACAGCAAAGCTTTGCCTGGGTGGCTCTGGGGACAGGCTTCAGAAAGCACGACTGGCCCCCCAGGTCCCACCTCTGTTACCTACAATCATGAACGCCGGAGACATGAGGCGAGATTGATCACCCGTGGATGCTGTCCCCATGACCCCCAAGGTCGATCAACCATGGGACATTGGCTAGGAGCTCTTGAGACTCAAGCCCCAGAAGTGGGATGTGCCAGGTCCATCCCAGAAAGAAGCAGGAGGGGGCTCGGAGTCACGGCACCTGGCGCCCTTGCTCACCTGTTGTTGTTGTAATATTCCAGGTAGAACCTCTTGGGCCTGGACAGCTCCTCCACTCGGTGGGACACCACTGAACGGAAATGGTCCAGTCACCACAGCTACACTGGGCCCCAACAGGAGCCACCCTCTACCCCAGCGTTCTGCTCAGCCCACCAGTCCAGGCAGGGGACATAGGCTAAAGACATGGGTGAACACTTCGCCAAAAAGTGTTCACAGTCATCCTATCTTAGGCAGAACAGGCAAACTACAACGGACAGCAGGGCAACAAGACTATGACTCCTTCCTCCCCAGGGCTGAACACAAGAGGCTCATAAACTGGGGTTTTGTCGGAAATTACTGCCAGCCTAGTTTTCTGGGGCGCATGGGTCGTGGCTGAGTCTGGAGCCCCAAGAGAGACTCTGCTTGGCTACGCTCATTCACACAGGAGTTCTTATTGGGAGGGGTGGGGGCACTTTAACTGGAGAAGTCCATGCTATCAAAGAAGATGGAGCCCATTTGGGGAGGAAGATGGGATCTCTGCAAAGCAAAAACTAGCCCCGCCCAGACTTGCCTTGCAGACTCTGCCCTGACTCGCTCACCCTGTGATTTGTCTACAGGATTCTAGTCACTCAGGGAGGTGAGAAAAGACTGGGGGGGGGGGGGTCCCGGGAGGTGGGGGGGAGGAGGGCAGAGGCTAGGGAGGTGACACAGGTGGCCACATGCTGAATGGAACCAGTAGGCTCCAGGCCAGGCAGAGGACACCCAGGCTGCCCTGGAGAGACAGAACCTACCAGGGACCGTGATGGTCAAGGTGGTGTCCTCGATAAATCGCTCGGTCCAGTATACAGAAGGCCTGGAATACAGCCGAGCAGCTCAGGGCAAGGGTGCCCTGGGCCCTGGGCCCTGCTGGGGAAGGGAAGCCTGGGGCCCTGGAACAATGGACAGGAAGCTGGGGAACCAGGGAGGGCAGCCTGAGGGAAATGGCAGGAGGACAGAGAAGAAAGTCGGCTGAGCTAGGGCACTGAGAACCAGGGGAAACAGATTCTCCAGAGCGAGACCCATGTTCCAAGACGGGGCAGGTGTAAAAGCCAGGTGCAGCTTAGAGAGCTGGGCCCCCTCGGGTGCACAAACACGACCCAGCAGGCCAGTGTACAGCAGGAGGATGGAGACAGGACAGCCCTAACACGAAGAAGCCCCCATTCAAGAGCCCTCCACCCCCATGACCTGGTCCCTGGAGAGAAGACAGCTCTGGTGCAGCCCTGGGGCCTGGCAGGGCCCTGACATGGAATGGCGACACAGGGAGGGGACACCCCAACTCACCAATACAGGCAAAACTGCAAGTTGTTCTTGCGTGGGGAAATCCAGGCATAGCCCTTACAACAGCACCCCGTCCTGCGATGAGACAGGGTCCCAGGCCCTGCCTTTGCCTCTGGGTCCCCACTGGCTCCCGGATTCCTCTCTCTCCTCTGGGTACCACCCAAGGGTCCCACCTCTGCTGTCCTGCCTGGTGCCTCCCCAAGAGCCCATTTATTATCTATGTGTCCTGCCCAAGGTGATGCAGGGAGGGAGTAACGGCTTGGAGACGGGGTCAGAAGAGCATGGCAGACCTGGGGTTCCCACTGCCTCACCCCTCGGGGGCCCCAGCCCTCACCTGTCTCTCAGGCATTGCCAATTGGTCTTGGGCTTTGCCAGCTCCAGCAGCCTCCGGCCCTTCTTTCTCCTGTTCTTGGGCGTGGAGACGCTGGGAGTCGGCTCCGTGATGGACAGCTGGCTACAAGAGACTTCCATGTTAGGATCTGCTGGTCTACCTTGATGTGTCTGGGAACCTGCAGAGCAGTCTGCCCGCCCCCTGCCCCCCACCAGTCAAGAATCTTGGATCTGCTCTGGGTCCCTGGAGCCACATCTCTCTCTGGAAAAGGGTTTGGCATCACCCAGGCTCCACACTGTCCAGAAACTGAGCCCTGACCCAGGGAACCGGAGGAAGGCAGCTCCCACCTCCTGGGGCTGTTGGGAGAGTGAACATGATGCTCACTTGTTGTGGAACATTACTTTAAGCATGGAAAGATATGTTACATTTGTTTCTGCTGCATTTGTTTAATGATGTAAAATGTGTTGCTTTGCCTGCCTAAGGCACCTGATTGGTCTAATAAAAAACTGAACAGCAAGGCAGAAGAAGGATGAGCAGGACTGACAGTGAGAGAGAGAATAAACAGGAGGAATCTAGGTTCCAGAGGAGAGAGAGAGAGAGAACGAGGGAGAAAGGACAGGAGACACCCAGGGCCAATCAGACAGACAGACACAGAGTAGGAAAGCAGGACGTACAGAATGAAAGAAAGGTAAAGAGCCCTGAGACAAGACGAAGATGAAGAGAAACAGGTTGTTACGTTGTAAGCGCTGGTGGGACAGGCCTAAACGAAGGCTGAGCTTTCATAACGAGTATTAAGTCTCAGAGTCATGATTTGGGGAGCTGGTTGGTGGCCCAAAGAAAGCCTGTCACACTCTCTTCTCTCGCCAGCGTTTACTGAATAGCTGCCATGAGCATGCGCCCAGAACAGGACAGTGACCAACAGCAGCCCTGGCCTCTGGGGGAGCTGCAGGGCTCTTATGGGGAAGGACAATGAAGAGAGCCAGGATAGACTGGTGTATCAGCACACAGCTCCTCCCGGCACCCACCTGCCCCTGGGTCCCCAACACCTACCTCATTTCCACCACTTCCACCTCCAACTCTCGTCGGAGGCTGTCATTCAGATTGGGGGGCTCAGGGAGCTCCTCTCCAGCCACCTCCTCTGGGGGAATCTCTTCCTCTGGTTCTTCTGGGGCTGGCTCCGCAGTAGCCTGGGAGCCCTGGAGCCAAGAGCTCTCAAACGATGTACTCTGGAGGCCCACATTGCCATTGCTCAGACCGCCATTACTCTGCCCATGCTCTGACCCACCCGAAGTCTTGGACTCCAGGACAGGGTTGTTGAGCAAACTGGCTCGGTGTTCGCCAAGTTCCCCCATGTGCTTAGTCCCTCCTAACCCTCACTCCCTCAACACCCAAACAAATCTGTGGATGCCACAGCAACAGGAGAATGCCCAGCCATGGATTCCGAAGTTCCAATTCCACGTGGTCTGAGAGCTAGGCCTGAGGTGCCTAGCTCAGGGTCCCAGCATACACGTCTCTCTTTTGGAGTGAGGGATGAGCGGTAACAGGATCTCACCATGTAGCCCAGGCTTGCCTAAAACCCAAGGTCCCCCTGCCTCATCCTTCTGAGTGCTGAGATGACCCACCTGCACTAGACTCCAGAGTCAAGCCCAGATTCAGATGTCACGGGGGTTGATTCCCTGGCTCCTCCCTCTCCCTGGGTCCCGGCTCCTCTCCTCTGGCCCCTGGTTTCACCTCAGCACTCGCCTGTCACCCTGCACCAGCCCTCTCCTGGGCCCGGGCCTTCTCCTGAGGGAACCTCTCCTGGTTGCGGAACCTCTCTAATCCTTGGGCTCTCTTCCTGCCCCAGGATCACTCTTCTCTGGGCTGCCCTCCCTGGCCCTGGGATCCATCTTCACAGGTGATGGCTCCTCACTGACAGCTGCCAAAGGTTGCATGGCTACATAAGGACTCTGCATGCAGAAACCATGAGGACCTGGGCCACGCGGAGCTGGGCCAGCGGCAGCTCCATGACTCCAGTTTCAAAGGCTCCAACTGCTGAGCCTCGTTCTAAACCGCTCCTGTTCCGTACGTAAGCGATCGCCTCCTGTCTGATCTCTCTTCTTTTCCATTTCTGCTCCCGATCAGTTGACAGCCGGCCCTCCCTTCGCTCCCTTTCCCAGTAAACTCCGTGTGAGTTTGTTGATTTTGGGGGATCATGTTTCACCACCCAAAGATGCAGCAAAGACAATAGCAGGGGCTGTACCCTCTCCCATGTGTGGGTTTGTGGAATCCATGGGAAATTCTGGGCATGGATTCTTTCTTTTTTTTCCCCACTAAGAGACCACATCTCTTCTTCCTGGTTCTGATTTGGGCCTATTTTTAGTGTCTGATGCTCAAGCAGCCATTCTGTGACCACATTCTGTTACAGCTGAGCCTTCTGTTTCCCGAGCTTCCATAGTTCACCCCCTGGGAGACTGCCAGAGCTCCACCTCCTCCCCTGGGAAAGGGTTCGAGTCCTCACAGCTCAAAGTACTGTGACATGAGTGGACTCCATCCCCAGGTTGTATAAGAAGTACGGTCCACACTTGCATCCTCACAGTGAAATTATGGCGGTGACAGAGGGTACCGTCAACACAGCCCCCACCTCCAGCCTATGAGAGCATCTCCAGGAAAGGCAACATACCCCCATGCTGGCGGGGTCGCACCCCGAGGGCTGCGGTAGGAAGGCCATGCGGGCTGCTGACCTTTGCTTCCTGCTGGTGAGCGTGTCTACTCTGCCATCACCATCCCTCGCTGACATCAGAACCCAGCTTCTGTCCAAGATGGACTGAAGACTAGTGGTTCTCCAAGACCCCCCAGGCCTTTGGTGCCGATTGAGACCTGTATGACATCTGGCCTGATGGGCAAGACCGTTGCCAGGCACTCAGCCTCTGCAGAGCACAGGCAGCCATTGCTGGACGATCCAGCCCGTATCCTGTAAGCCAGTCTAATCAATGCCCTCTGTTACATATGTTCATTCTGTCCCTTACCAGGCCTTGGAGAGGCCGGGCTAACACACATAAAGGCAGAGGAACTGGAACTGATGCAGGCCCTGGGCAGTCTGGTAGCAAACTCCATTCACTGCATTCCCAAGATGGAGACTCCATCTCGGGGTTCCCAGGCAGGAAACAAAGTCCACCCCCGTGCTCCAGTGTTGCTGTCACCGTGATGAGGTACCACAGGCTCAGCAGAGAAAGCAGGGGTGCTTAACTGTTTCAACTCTAAACCCCTTTCCTCTGAGGAGTGTTCATTTAACCCCAGGCTTAGCTATACAGAGTAGCTGTCCTGAGGGGTGGGGCATGGCTCAGCAGTCAGGAGCACTCGCTGTTCCTCCTGAGTTTGGTTCCCAGCACCCGCATGGTAGCTCACAAGGGCCTGTGACTCCAGTTCCCGGGTATCTGACACCATCTTCTGGCCTTGGCAGGTGTCTTAGTTACTGTTGTATTTCTGTGAAAAGACGCCATGGCCAAGGCAATTTGTAATAGAAACAATTTAATAGGAGGCGTGGTTACAATGCCAGAGGGTGAGCCCATGACCACCATGGCAGGCGGGCGTGGCGCTGGAGCAGTAGCTGAGATTACATCTCGTCTGTAAATTGGAGAAATAAAGGTCACAAGCCCCGGGGCAGCACATAGATTAATAGAAATGGGTTAAACTATAAAAGCGAGTCAGTAACAAGCCGGAGCTATTGGCCAACTATTTATAATTTATAAGTCTCTGAGTCAGTTATTTGGGAAGTGGCTGCCTGCTGGGGAAAACTCTGTCTACATGCTAGTCACCCCAAAACAGCTCCACCAACTGGGGACCAAGCTTTCAAATATATGATAGATATGCAAAGCACTGCGTTCCACTCTCTGGCCTCCCAGAGACAGCCATGTCATGATGCATTCAGCTCAACTTCAAAAGTTTCTCAGTCTCAACACTGTTCAGAAGTCTGAGATCTCTTCTGAGACTCACGCAATCCCCTTAACTGTCTTGATAAAATCCAATATACAATGGCACAAAATATACATTACCATTTCAAAAGGAAGGAAAGGGGACATGAGGAAACGTTGGGCCAAACCCCAGCAGGGCAAAGTCCAAATCCAGTATCTGTAAGTCCCTCATCAAAGGGCTTTAAACACCCACCCTTCCAGCTCCGTCGCCTGCAACAAACTTTCTCTTGAGGGCTGGTTCACAAGGCTGAAGCAGCCAAGTTCTGCTGCCTGCTTGAGATGGAGCCTGGCCCCCTCCTTGAATTGATTTGCATAAATTTTGACTTGTTAATGCTCTTTAGGAACAAATCCTTTTCCTTTCGCAGGTTGCAGGGTTAGCTGGGTGTGGTCTTGCCCTGAAGGTACCACTCCCTTTATCCCTTTTAGCACCAGGCTTCTCTTTTTAAAGCGCAAGGCTTGGTTCCAGCATTGCCTGGTGCAGGCTTTCTCCTCAAACTGTAAGTTTTGCATTTGTTTCGCCTCACTTGCTCTATTTCCTTGTAGATCTGCATAAGAGTGATTACCAGATGTGGTCTGATGATTTGTAGAGACAGAGGCAATCTAGGCATTGCTCAACTGAATCGTCGCTGGGTCAATGAAGAAATAAAGAAATCAAAGGATTCCTAAAATTCAATAAAAATGAATGCACAACATACCCAAATTTATGGGACACAATGAAAGCAATGAGAAAAGGAAAGTTCATAACTCTAAATGCATACATAAAGAAGGTGGAAGCCGGGTAGTGGCGGCGGTGGCGCACGCCTTTAATCCCAGCACTCAGGAGGCAGAGGCAGGCAGATCTCTGTGAGATCAAGGCCAGCCTGGTGTACGAAGCTACACAGGGAAAACTTGCCGAGAAAAAAGAAGAAGGTGGAGATATCCCACACTATCGAATTAACAGAACAACTGAAAGTTCTAAAACAAAAAGAAGCAAACTCACCCAGGAGGAATAGACAGCTAGAAATAATCAAACTGAGGGCTGAAATCAATAAAATAGAAACAAAGAAAACAATACAAAGAATCAATGAGACAAAGACTTGGTTCTTCCAGAAAATCAACAAGATAGACAAATCTTTAGCCAAACTAACCAAAAGGCAGAGAGACACTATCGAAATTTACAAAATCAGAAATAAAAATGAGGACATGTCAACAAACAGTGAGGAAATTCAGAGAATCATCAGGTCATACTTCAAACACATACACTTGACAAAATTGGAAAATTTAAAGGAAATGAACAATTTTCTGGATAGGTATCACATACCAAAATTAAATCAAGATCAGATAGACAAATTAAATAGATCTAAAACCCCTAAGGAAATAGAAACAGTCATCAAAAGTCTCCCCCCTCCCAAAAAAAAGCCCAGGGCCAGATGGTCTCAATGAAGAATTCAACCAGAATGTAAAAGAAGAGCTAATACCAATACTCCCCAGTTGTTCCCCACAATAGAAACAGAAGGGTCATTGCCAAGCTCTTTTTATGAGGCTACAGTTACCCTGATACCCAAAACACACAAAGATGCAACTAAGAAAGAACTACAGATCAATCTATGAAGACAGAGGTCTCTGTCCCTCCAGGTCCTGCAGCTGTTTAGTCCCAAATAAATGTGTCTGTCTGTATTAGCCCCTCGTTGCAGGGCTGCAATCAGGGCCAGCTGAACAGCCCTGGGCTTGTTCCTGAGCAGGGGAGAGTGGATGAGGGAAGGCTAGCTATTGGTGTTAAAGAAAAGATGGAAAGGTAAGATCATATCAGGAGGGCAGTGTCAGCTAACACTGCAAGCCTCCTCAGTTTACTCAATGCATCATCTTAAGTAACCAACCAAAGGTGGGGACAACGGCAGAAGACATCTATTATCATGTATAAAGGCAATTACTTCCCTTTAGTACTAAAACTTCCCTTTAGTACTAAAGACACTCGTGCTACTCAACCACCAGGCTCTCCATAGTGGCAGTATCATCTAGCCTTCAGGATGAGTATACACTCACCTGGGTCTAGATCTATTGTTATTTAGGTAGGAACCATTCACCACCTAGACCAGAACATCCTGCAGTCATTAGCTGATATCCTAAAGGCAATAGCTGTCAGGACTCTCTGAACTTGTGGCAGGAAGGAACAGATTTCCGATATACGGAAATAACAAAGGCTTATAATGATTATATAATGTGTGGGCTGGGAACCCGCTGCTTGCTGTCAAAATAGGCAAGTTCATGAAACCCGGGAAAGTGGTGCTGGTACTAGCTGGATGCTACTCCAGACGCAAAGCTGTCATCGTGAAGAACATTGATGATGGCACCTCCGACTGTCCTTACAGCCATGCCCTGGTGGCTGGAATTGACCACTATCCCCCAAAAGTGACAGCTGCCATGGGCAAGAAGAAAAATGCCAAGCGATCAAAGATCAAGTCCTTTGTGAAAGTTTATAACTACAATCACCTCATGCCCACAAGGTACTCTGTGGACATTCCCTTGGACAAAACTGTTGTCAATAAGGATGTCTTTAGAGACCCAGCCCTGAAACGCAAGGCGAGGCGGGAAGTCAAGATCAAGTTTGAGGAACGATATAAGACAGGGAAGAACAAATAGTTTTTCCAGAAGCTTCACTTTTAGGTATATTTTTGTTTCCATCATTAAAATGTTTAAAAAACAAAAAAATTATAAAATGTTTGGATAGTGGTAAGGCTTCTTATTGGCTAGCTCTCTCTTAATTGTTAACCCATAACTATTAATCTGTATAATTCTACATGGTCTTATCTTACTGGAGAACTCAACATCCTATCTTCTCAGCGGCTACATGGTGTCTCCCAGGCCACTCCTCTCTGCCTTCCTCTTCCCAGAATTCTTATAGTCTGGTAGCCCTGCCTATACTTCCTGCCTGGCTACTGGCCAATCAGCATTTATTCATCAACCAAAAAGGGAAACATATTTACAGCATACAAAAGGACATCCCTCATCAGGGAACACTTCTCCATAGATGGTGAGAGTGAAAAATTGTACAGCTGTTTTGAACATCAGTATGGCCATTTGTCAAAAAATTGGGAATAAATCTACCGCAAGACCCAGCAATACCACTTATGGCCATATTCCCAAAGGATACTCACACCACGAGGATGTTTATTCAACTAAGTTCATAAAAACATTATTCATAATAGCCAGAACCTGGAAACAACCTAGATGCCCCTCAACTGAAGAATGGATAAGGAAAAGGTGGTACATTTACACAATGGAGTACTACTCAGTGGTTAAAAAAAATAAATGACATCTTGAAATTCGCAGGCAGATGCATAGAACTATAAAAAAAAATCCTGAGTGAGGTAACCCAGACATAGAAACACCGTTATGATATGTACTCACTCATAAGTGGGTATTAGGCATAAAGCAAAGGATAACCAGGCTACAGTCCACAACCCCAGAGAAGCTAGGAAACAGGAGGACCCTAAGAGAGACATGCATAGATCCACCTAGGAAGGGAAAAAAGACAAGATCTCCTGAGTAAATTGGGAGCATGGGGGGCATGGGGGAGGGTGGAAGGGGGAGGGGAGGAAGAAAAGGGAGTGGGGAGGAGAACATGAGGGAATGGGATGGGCGAGTTGGAGGAAGGACAGAGAGGGAGAGCAAGGAAAGAATGATCTTGATAGAGGGAGCCATGATGGGATTAATGAGAAACCTGGTGCTAGGGAAATTCCCAGGGATGCACAAGGATGACCTCAGATAAGACTCTAAGCAATAGTGGAGAGGGTGCCTGAACTGTCCTTCCCCTGTAATCAGATGGAGGACTGCCGTAATTGTCATCGTAGAATTTTCATCCGGCAACTGATGGAAGCAGATGCAGAGATCCACAACTCACCACTGGCCTGAGTTCCCAGAGTCCACTCAAAGACGGGGGAAGGGGGCCCCAATAATATGAGCAGAGGGGCCAAGTCCAGGATGGGGAAACCTACAGAAACAGCTAACCTAGCTAGTGGGAGCTCACTGACTCTGGACTGACAGCTGGGGAACCAGCATAGGACTGAACCAGGCCCCCTGAATGCAAGTGACAGTGGGTGATTTGGGCAGTTTATGGGGCCACTGTCAATGGAACCAGGATCTGTCCCTAGCACATGAATGGGCTTTTTGGAACCTATTTCCTATGGAAAGATAACTTGCTCAGCCTAGATATGGGGGGAGGAGGGCCTTGGTCCTGCTTCAGAGTGGTGATGGGAGAGACTTCGTTGACATCCTGTGGAAGGCCTTACTCTCGCTATAGAGCAGAAGGGGAGGTGAAAGGAAGGCAGAGAGAGCAGGAAGAGGGGAGGGAGGAGGAACCTGGGTTAGTATGCTAAAAATTAAACGAAAAAAATTTAAAGCATAAAGAAAGAGTGATTACTAAAACCACAAATCATAGTCAATACTAGGCTGTCTTGTGTTGTGGAATATTTGTTTAACTAGGCAAAGATGTGTTACACTTGATTATGTTGTGGAATGTTGCTTTAACCATGAAAAGATGTTACACCTATCTATGCTGCCTTTTTTTAAATAATGTAAAGATGTGTTACATTTGTTTATGCTGCGTCTGTTTAATGATATAAAGATGTGTTGCTCTGCATGCCTAAGGCACCTGATAGGTCTAATTAAAAAGCTGAACAGCCAATAGCCAGGCAGGTAGAGGAATAGGCGGGGCTGGTGGGCAGAGAGAATCAGTCGGGGGAGGAATCCAGGCTCAAGAGAAGAGACAGAGAGAAAGTGACACAGAGCAAATGAGGGAGAAAGAGAGGGGGATTCCCAGGGCCGGCCAGGCAGGCAGCTGCCAGCCAGATAACACGGAAGAAGCAGGAAAAGTAGACTACAGAATGAAAGAAAGATTAAAAGCCCAGGGGCAAGACACAGATGAAGAGAAACGGGTTAAAATAAGCTATGAGAGCTGGTGGGTCAAGCGTAAGCTGAGGCCGAGCATTCCTAGCTAATAATAAGTCTCCAGGCCGTGCCTCGGGAGCTTGTGGGTGGCACAAAGGAAAATCTGCTACAGTCTTGAAGTCTCCTCCGCCAACAACACCGAGCCAAAGCTCTTCAGTTTAGCCTCAGGCAGATTTTCAGGACAAGGGCAGAAAGCAGCCACCTCTTTTGCCAAAATATCATAAGAATGGCCTCCAGTCCAGTCTCTACTATTCTTCCCTCCTGAAACTTGTTGAGCTGGGCTTTTGGCACTACTGTCTTCCAAGCTCTTGTTAGGATGGTCCATTAGACCTTGCTCACAGTGTTCTACTCCAAAGCCCCAAAGCCCACACTCTACCAACAAGGAGAATGGTCTGGTTTGTCACAGCTGTACCTCACTCCTGGTACCGACTTCTGTCTCGGTCAGTGTCCTATTGCTGTGAAGAGATACCATGACCAACCATGACCAAGATGACTTATAAAAGAAGGCATTTAATTGGGGCTTGCTTACAGTTTCAGAGGGCGAGTTCATGAGCATCACGGCAGAGAGTTTGGCAGCGGGTGGGCAGGCTTGGTGCTGGATCAGGAGCTGAGAGCTCACATCTGACGGACAAGTTGGACACAGAGAATGAGAGATGCTGAGTCTGCCATGGGCTTTTGAAACCTCCAAGCCCACCCCTATGGTGTGCATCCAGCAAGGCCACACCTCCTACTCCTTCTCAAAACAGGTCCACCAACTAGGGACTGAGCATTCAAATAGATGAGCCTATGGGGGCCATTCTCCCTCAAACCACCACAGCAGGTATCTGCACACACGGGGAGCCTGCAACAGGACGGATGCCTGCATCTTTCCCTGTCCCCACCGTTGGCTCCTTACTGGCTGCTGCTGCTGCTGCTTTAAGATGGAACCTCTCCCTGAACCTAAAGTCTCAGCCCTCAGCTAGGCTGGCTGACTTGCCCACCAGCTCCCAAGATCTGCCTGGCTCTGCTCCCTGACACTTCAGCACCGACTGCCGTGCCTGGCTTTTTTTTTTTTTAATGAAACTCAAGTCGGCGATTTCAAACAGCAGTCTTTAAAAATCAAGCATTCTAGCAGAAAACAAGCCACAGACGTATTCGTTTGATACACGGTGAGGGATGACAATACTAAGTTCTTGTTTTTCATAATTAAACCATTCTGTTTCTATGAGAGCAGAAAGCGTTTTGTACAAGGCAAGCACCACTCATACACAGCAGGCCTCCCACGAGGGATTCTGGTGACACTGGTCACTGTGTGGCGTAAAGACACCAGCATGATGCATGTCCACAGCTGCGCCGAAGCTGTGAGTGCTGCACCCGAGAGCGCGGCCAGGAACACCCCAGCCTTGTTACGTTCTTCATTTCCAGTTACTTTGTGGCTGTTTTATGCTCCAAGACCTCTAGCTGTGGTCCAGTTTTTCACACACACCCCTCCACATTCAGTCCTGCATGGAGTTGCTGCCCTACGGTTTAAGAAAGCTGACGCTCATCCCTGTTGGTTCCGGGAACCAGAGTCCGAGTGGCTTCCCTAGCTGTTGTAAAGTAGGACTGACACCAACACCCACGTTAGGCCCTTTGTAGAAGAGTTCCCTGGCTTTGGCTGTAGGGAGCCCACCTCAAGAGACCCCAGCCGTGGACAGAGCGGCACACACTCAGAGCCTGGCGCGCCTGAAGTCATGGAGACCGCACGACTCCTGGGACACTGGGAGGGAGGAGACAGAAAGAGCTCCACCACGTCGGTGCAAAGACGGGTGTGGGCGAGAAGGCGCCACACATCACACAGCCAGGCCGGGCCAGCCCCGAGAGTAGCCATGCTGTCGAACCATGGAGGAAGGCACACACGACCGCGGTGCGCCGGGAGGCAGCATCCGCGCTTGCTTCCGACAGACACGGACCGGCCCACACCGAAGATCCCAGACCTTCCCGGTGTCGGAGCTGTCCCAACAATGCAGGCTCCTCCCCTCTGCCCCACAACTCTGTTTCCCGCGTGGTCCCCCCCTGAGTCCCCTCCGCTCACCAACCCCCTTGCCATGTGCGACATGGCTTCTGACACAGCTCAGCTCCACGCTGCTGCCCTTGATCCCCCGAAGTCACTGCCCTGTCTCCCCCTCAGCCCCGCCCCGTTTCTCTCGGGGCGCTAGGACTTCTTGCTTCTCTGCCCTGCTTTCTTTCTCTTCCCCGTTTGCTTTGACCCACGGCACGGCACGCTGCGTGAGTCTGTGAGTGGGGGAAGAGGTCTGAGGATAGAGGTTCTCGCCCTGACTGCTCCAGCTCAGCCATGCTTCGAGACGAGGCTGTGGCGATGTTCATGGCGACCACTAGGTGGCGGCCTACTCACGGCCACTGGTGCCCCCCTGCGACAAGGAGGCGGCTCCGGCTTAGTGCCCAGGTCTCCCCTCAGCTGGACAGCGTTTGCAAACCAGAAAGCGGTACTGAAAAGCCTCCGAGGATAAAAACTACAGTTGAGTGAAGCTTAGGGCCAAAGCATCGTTCCTGGGACTACCGACTGCCTCTGAAGAGTCACGAGTGTCCCTCTACAGACCAACGCTGTCTGTTTTCCAGGGGATGGACGCAGACTGGAGCCCCGGAGGGGAGCAGGGTTAAAACCATGAATACAACGGTGAAAACCAATGGCGAAAACTCAGCACCCACCCCCTGGATTCTAGTTCCTTCGGCTCCCCACGGACAAAGTCTCTGCTTGGTACTAACAAAAGCCTGACCTTCCC